TCCCCCCTTTCTGTCTGTATATAAATAAATAAATAAAATAAATAAATATATTATATATATATATATATATATATATATGTATGCATGTGTGTATGTGTGTGTGTGTGTGTGTGTGTGTGTGTGTGTGTGTGTGTGTGTATGTGTGTGTGTGTGTGTGTGTGTGTGTTGTGTGTGTGTGTGTGTGTGTGTGTGTGTGTGTGTGTGGTAAGTTACCTAGCTTGTATGTTATAATCTTGTCTCATTAATATTTCTCCTCTTCAAGAAACATTCTCACATGCTTTTCCTTCCCCTCCCTCCCTCTCTTCCTTAATACCCTTCCCTTTCCGTACCTTTCCTTTCCCTTTTCTCCCCTACTCTCCTTTCCCTTCCCTCCCTCCCCTTCTTTCCCTTCCTCTCTCCCACTCCCCTCTTTCGAAATCGCCTCTTCCCTCCTCCTCCATCCACCCTCTTTTCGAAATCTCCTCCTTTCCCTTCCCTTCCTCTTCTTCCATCTCCTTTCTTCTCAACGTATAGACCGCAGGCTTGACGGCTTTCGGAACAGACAGCAATGACCAGCAGCGGGTCTGTTTCGCGCTCGAAGGGTCCGAATTCGTGGCTCATGCTTGCAACGGGTCGACGGCTACGACTTCGATGAACGTCGTGTGTCTCACGCCGTAAGTTATGGCTTATGTTTAGGTTTGGATGGCGGTTATGTTTTGGATCTGATGTATTTGCTTTGATTGGTGTATCTGTTTATTATTTTTGTTTGTTGAAAGATACATGATATGTTTTTTTTTTATGTGATAGTTATGCTTTTTCTGTTCTTTTTAGAATGTAATTTTTTTACCTCTGGTCCTTCTTAGCAGATAAAAGTCATCTTTCAATCTAAAATCAAATGTTTTTAACTTGTCCTCCTTATATGATAAAAAATTTCGTTTATGATCTTTCTTCCAAATTAGAAATTTGTATTTTCCCTAACCCTCTTTAGAGTAGAAATGTAATTTTCTTAATACTGCTTGTATTGGAATAAAATGGAGTAGGCCTACAATACAGCTTGGTATTTAACTTTCAAATGCTCTTATCACTTCCCACAAGCATATACATATTGCCATTTTAATATCATTATTAACAATAGCTTTTATACAGCAGATAACTCAAAACCAGTCATCATTTTTTATTTACATTAAAGATAATCAAAACAAAGCAAAATTCCTTTCAACCCAAAATGAACTTGATTCAACTAAAACCGATCAGAACCCAGACCGAAAAAAATAACTCACGGAACCAAAAGTGATCTTTTGTCAGAACACTCACATAGAAAAAAAAAACTTTGGGTTCTTCGATTATGTCCAGCAATTTTGCTTTTTTGTCTTACCTTCCAGTTTTACCTTCTACTAAAATTAAAGCTAAAATTAATCTTCTCCATTTGAATCCTTGCTACCATTAAAATAAGTTTTTATTGCAGTCCCTTTACTTGAAATATAATTCAAATTATCAAAATGACCGTAACTAAAGCCAAACTTCTCTATCCGAACAGTCCTATCGTTTTCAAGTCGGTGAACCAAACGGACGACGCCACCTATGACAGCCAGGACTCCGTGTGCAGGAGCGAAGGCGGGAAACTGCTTCCTCGTCTCACCCAGGCCAACTTGAAAGACCTTGTTTATTACTGTGGGTTGAGTATTTATTTTTTTCTTTTCTTTGAATTGTAGTATTTAGTTTAAGCCGTCTTTGCTAGATTGGAAAGTGCCAACGCATTAGTCTTATGCCGTCTTTGCTAGATCAAGGAAAGTGCTAAAGCGTTAGATTTTTTTCCATTGCTAAGGAGGCGTTCAGGGTTTCGGCATCACGTTGTGCTATTTCTACGTCATCCCTTTAATGACCCATGTAACCCTGGAAATCAGCCTGAAGCCTACATCATGGTTTTTTGTGCTCATTTTATTACCAGATAAGCCTAGTTGTGCTTACATTTTACAAAAGAAATTCGTTAAATATATTTCTATATCATTCTGTATCCAGAGATCAAAGAAAATACCATAAGCACTGATTTTTTTTCATTTGCCATTGGAAGTATTTGGAAACCTTTCTTTCAATGAGTTTCAAAATACGCCGTGGATATTGTTCCGGCATCGGATTTTATAACAGTTTGGCTATTCGTCGGCATACACTCGCGCTTGCGCACTGTCCATAATTCTGTCTTTTTTCATTTCACGCAATATTCATAGTCGGATCGAGACTCTGCTGGGATATTTTTCCGGCGTTTTTTTGTCGGAAGCCTGCACTGAAGAGCTATTTTTCCGGCATGGGCGCACGTCATCAATATTTTAAATTATTCTTAGGACCGAGTAGACATACATGCTAAGTTTGCTACAGTTTGGTATTTATGTGATTTTCAATCCTATTCTGTGATTTTATCGTGCATATTAACGATAGGACCGCACCCGTCACAATGTTGGGGATCCCGTGGGATTCGGGTGTTGGGGGGGGGATGATTTCGTTCATACCATGCATTAAAAAAAAAAAAAAAAGGAAATTGAAAATCCGAGCCAAGGATAAGCATTTCAGATGATAAAGAAAGTGAAAAATGTAAGAACCCGAGAGAAGATTCGGCCTCGGATGATTCGACACGGTGTTGCGCGAACGAACGGTCGAGTGAACCGCATCTTAAACGCACGAACTACCAGTAGGATCGCCGTATGAGCCAATAATCCCTCCTAACCCTGTGGCCATGCCCACGAACCCCCTCCCGATTGCCGTATTTCCCTATCGGGGCCTTCGCCCCGGACCCCTCCCGATTGCCATATATCCCGATGCAAGAAAACACTAAGTAGTACTTCAACTCTGGCTTTACTTTCTCATCCGGTGTACGCATCAAAGCTGCAGCGACAGTCCTTGAATCTTTGACATAAAACTGTTCAAAATTCAGTTCCAACTTTGAAGGAATCCATAATCGATGATCGACTCTTAGCCATGAACAATGGACAACATAAATATAGCGCTAAAGTTTATATGCAAGGCTAATGCGCAAGCGCGAGTGTGTGTTTGCCCGCAAATAATTAGTGCACATGTATGCCGGACGAATAGCCAAACTGTTATAAAATCCGGTGCCGGAACAATATCCACGGCGTTCAAAATAAGTGCTGACCGATTCATGCACTTAATGCTCCTTGTGCTCATCTCTATATAGTTAATGTCCTGTCTTCATTTCCATGTGAAGGATCATGTATAATGTGGCATTACCGCTCTTGGAAAGCAAATGAGAGACAGGCAGAGAGAGTGGTGGATGTGTTAAAGAGAAAGGGGGAGAGAAAGCGAAAAAAGAAAGAAAGAGAGAGGGGAAGGGGGCGAGAAAGAGAGCAGAGAGAGAGAGAGTGAGAAGACAAGAGAGGTAAGAGAGAGAGGGAGAGAAAGAAAGAGAATGAGAAAAGAAATAGAGAGAGATTTTGGACAAGTCGAGCAGTCATCCGTGCTATTATAGCATTCCTGATACTTGGGCGTACTGTGTGGAATGAGGTGTAAAAGATTTTTCCCTAGCTTACCTTATGCCTGGCAATGCATTCAGCAGCCAATCAGCAGTTAGGGCGAGCATTGACGTCGTTTGCTAAACTCCAGACATGTTGGACTTTCGAGCCAACAAGAGACGGCTATCATTTTTTTGTGAGTTTTGTTTTAGTTTTTTTCTCTCATTCTTTTCTTGGTAGTTTTATCTGTCAGTTGTTTCATTTTCTTTCCTGTTTTGAGAATTGTTTTGGATTTTTTTCTTCTCAGTCTTTTCTCTTTAGTTTTGCTGGTTAACTTAGTAATATTCTTTTCAGTTTTCTTAATTTACACTCATGTCCTGTCTCATAACATATATACGAGATATACATGCCAGTATATATATAAATAATTATGCATATAATAACAATGATACTAATACAAGAAACAATCCTAATAATCTTCATAATACAGACGGCAAACTGACAGCTTGGACGACAATGGTGGGGGAAGTGTGCCAGGGAACAGACTGGTCTCTGGTATGGCCGGACGAAACGAGGGCCGATAATGAGACGCTGAATCTGCCATGGTGAGTAAAACGATGACGTTCCCTTCGGCTTAGAGCGGTAAGCCGGAGTTTCGTTGGTGTGAACCTGGCCGTGCGCTAGTTTCCGAACGGATCGAGGTGGCTCGCACTCTTAAACCAGAGTACCGGCTTGGAGGGATCAGTGGTCTCGAGAAAGGTTCTTTTATGATTATTTTTCAATTGAATTCTTTGGAAATGAACCAACGAAATCCCAAGAATTGCAAATCCGACTTCCATTTTGGTCTAGTGGTCTTTCTCTTTTCCTGTTTCCTTATTTATTATTATCTTTTCATGTTTTTTTTTTCTTTTCTCTATTGTATTTATTTTCTTTCTGTCTCATTCATTGCCTCGTTTCCCTCCTCCCTCTCTCTCTCTCTCTCTCTCTCTCTCTTCTCTCTCTCTCTCTCTCTCTCTCTCCTCTCTCTCTCTCTCTCTCTCTCTCTCTCTCTCTCTCCCTCTCCCTCTCCCTCTCCCTCTCCCTCTCCTCTCCTCTCTCTCCTCTCCTCCCTCCTCTCTCCCTCCCTCTCTCCCTCTCCTCCCTCCTCCCTCTCTCTCTCCCCCCTCTCTTCTCTCCCTCTCTCTCTCTCTCTCCATCTCTCTCTCTCTCTCTCCTCTCTCTCTCTCTCTCTATCTCTCTCTCTCTCTCTCTCTCCATCTCTCTCTCTCTTCTCCATCTCTCTCTCTCTCTCTCTTCTCTCTCTCTCTCTCTCTCTCTCCTCTCTCTCTCTCTCTCTCTCTCTCTCTCTCTCTCTCTCTCTCTCTCTCTCCCCTCTCTCCCTCCCTCCCTCCCTCTCTCAAATTCTCTCCCGCTTGCCGTCTACCCAATAAACCTACTCCTCACCCACCTACCAATGGCTTCCACAGTCCCCAGGCCTCACGTCTTTCGCCAACGCATCGGGAAACGTGAGCGAGGAACTGAGGGTGTGCTTCATCATTGAGGATTCGCAGTCCCTTGTTGCCAACCGTGTGCGGGTTCTGGCAGCAAGAGTGTTCTGTGTACTCGCGCGTGAGTTTTGTGTTCGATTAGCGTGTATTTTCACGTATGTGTAGATGCATGCTTGTGGGGGTATATGTTTAAGCGCCCGTGTATGTGTATATATGCACAGGCGCGCGTGTTCACACATACATATGCACGTATACAAACGCATTTGTAGACACACGCGCACACGCACCCACACATACAAAAAAAACACACATGCACTAACAAACAGAAACAAACGAGCAAAAACAAATTGCCTAATTAATTGGTCTTTATTCCTCTGTATTTCGTTTTGTTTTGGGAGATAAACTTTACATTATATATTCTAAACAATTATAGAAATAATTTTCACATAAGAGAGCGTTACAGAACTTGGTAACTATTCTACCTGGATGACCCACCTTAAACCTATATCGAAATAAATCATCCACAATCTATCAAAACAAATCATCCCGTCCATAATCCAAATAAACTTGACTTGACTTGACTTCCCTAACTTAGCCTTTCAACGTACCTGTCAATGGAGAGGACCACCAACGGAAGCTTTGACAGCCAGGACGCCTTGTGTGCGGCTGAGGGAGGTCAAGCCGCGACCAGGTTTGACATCGTTAACTCCAGGAGCTGGAGTATTATTGTAAGTCATGTTTTGATGTTGTTGTTGTTGCAGAATGTCTTTCGACTGGTAGGAATGGAGTGCTGGTAGCAAATAAATTTAGGAAATGTATGAATATGTTAAAAGGCACTCATCTATGTCACCAATAACAAAATAATTATCTAATTCTACTTAAAAAAGCACAAAAAAGTAGAAAATGCATCGCGGAGAGAGAAGAAAGTCAAACACAAACGCGTGATGAACATATTGGTAGCACAAACGACACTAAACCAAACGTCTATCCTCGATACAATGAATATACCAATAAAAACTAAATCAAATGAACAAAAAACAAAATAAAGTAAACGTATCGCCAAGAAACACGCTCCACGGTGTAAATAAACACAAAAAGACCTCTCACTTCGGCAGACGGTTCAGTGAGAGCCTGGACGACGATGCTGTATGAAGTGGCTCCCAAATTAATCGGTTGGAGTCGCAAGGAGGTTTGGCACGATGGCGAGAGCGTTTCTGTTTCAAAAATTGATATTCCTGTGGTGAGTCGAGTGTATGGGTCAGAGAGGGAGAGAGAGGAGATAGAGAGGGACAAGCATGAAGGGAGGGAGAGGGAGAGAGAAGGAGAGATTGATAGGGACAGGCAGGAAGGGAGGGAGAGGGATGGGGAAGGAGAAGATTGACAGGTTTGGAGGGAGGGAGGGAGAGAAAGGAGAGATAGAGAGGGACAGGCAGGAAGGGAGGGAGAGGGATGGTGAAGAAGAAAGATTGACAGGTATGGAGGGAGGGAGAGGGAGAGAGAAGGAGAGTTAGAGAGGGACAGGCAGGAAGGGAGAGAGAGGGATGGGAAGGAGAAAGATTGACAGGTATGGAGGGAGGGAGAAGGAGAGATAGAGAGGGACAGGCAGGAAGGGAGGGAGAGGGATGGTAAGGAGAAAGATTGATAGGTAGGGAGGAGGAGGGAGAGAGAGAGAGAGATCGAGAGGGACAGGCAGGAAGGGAGGAGGGATGGGGAAAGAGAAAGACTGACAGGTATGGAGGAGGGAGGAGAGAGAAAAGGAGAGACAGAGACAGAGAGAGAATAGAAAAATGAGACAACAAAGAATTTGAGAAAAGATACCGAATCAGCCACAGACAATAAAACAAAGTGACAATAAAAATAAATCAAACGAACAAACCTGTATACCCACTACAACCGATTTACTTTCTCTTCCCGCTTTTACAGAATCAAGTGAAAAGTATGAAGTCGAGAAGACCTTCTGCTTCGTCTTCAGGAACACGTCGATGCTCGTCACCCAAGAGTGCTTCGACAACAGGACCCTCATGAGCGCCCTCTGTGTGTTCGTCTGAGGGCTTCTTTACCCAAGGGCGAGGCTTATGGGGTGGTGGTTATGGCGATGTGTTTTTTGGTGCATGGTGATTCTTATGGTTGATTGTTGGTGATGTGGAATTCATATTGGTTTATGGTGGTTATAGTGATGTGGAATTCATGTTGGTTTACGTGGTGGTGGCGTTATGTGGTTCTCGATGACGTGGTTGGTTATGGCAATGAGAAATTCATGTTGATTGTATGATGATTCTTAAGGTGATTATGGTGATGCGGAATTCATGTTGGTTTATGGGGATTCTTAATGTGGTTATGGTGATGTGGAATTCATGTTGGTTTATGGTGTGGTGGGCGTATGGTGGTTACGATGGCGTGTGGTGGTTATGGCAATGAGAAATTCATTTGATTTATGATGATTCTTAAGGTGATTATGGTGATGCGGAATTCATGTTGGTTTATGGGGATTCTTAATGTGGTTATGGTGATGTGAATTATGTTGGTTATGGTGGTGGGGCGTATGGTGGTCACGATGGCTTGTGTTGGTTATGATGTGAAATTCATGTTGGTTTATGGTTATGTGGAATTCATGTTGGTTTATGGTGGTAGTGGGCGTATGGTGGTCACGATGGCTTGTGTTGGTTATGGTGATGCGAAATTCATGTTGGTTTATGGTGGTGATTATGGTATGTGGTGGCTATGATGATATGAACTTGATGTTGGTGTGTGGTGGTTATTATGGTGTGTTGTGATGGTGAAGTGGAATTTTGGTTGGATTATGGTGGTTATGAGAGGATAGGACGAGTATAATAGCACATGATAATTATTATACACTGGTGGCTACGGTGGTATGTGATTGTGGTGACATGTAGTGACTATGATGACGTTATGCTTCATAGGGTATGCAATGGTTATGCTGCATATGATAATGGTGACCTACATAATGGTATCAACTTCATGGTGGAAAGGCAAATTATTATGGCAAATGAAGAGGGCATGGAAATGTATTAAGACTGGTAATGTATCTGTGTTTTAGAAGTTTCACCTTGTCACCTTTTGCGTCTCACTTTCCCATCCTTTCTTGCACATCAAGTTTCATAATTACAAGTATATAGTTAATATAATTACTAATAAGTATAAGTAATGATTGCTAATAAGTATATAGTATAATAAGTAAGAAGTCTATATATATATAAGCATAATTATGATAATTACTAATAAGTATATTTTACATCTCACCATTTAAATATATCGTCTGAACACATAAGATAGAATGACTTACCATAGATCTACAGGTAATTATAATAATTGCTAATAAGTATACCGACGATTAAGTATTCCAGTGCACGAAAACCAGTTGATTTGGGGTAAAAGCTTAAGCTGGTTTATAGAAATGTAATTCACTTGTTAGATTGCCTTGCTTCTGTTTACAAGTTTATAAGTATATATATGGTAATGTCAGAAATGAAAAAAATGTCGGAATTTGGAGTAAGGATTCACAATCCTTTTCAAGTGGATTCAAAAGATGTGTTCCCATCTTAAAAATGCTAGTATTTTTAATTAAAATAAAATGGATGTTTGTAAGGTAAGGCCTTCATGTAACCATTTGCCTCTCAAAACAATTCACAAAACGGACTAACTTAAATTTTTGAATGCATCGTTTCCTGGCCTTGTTTCATTCTAGTTTAGATATATCTGCAATACCGTACATAAGAGAATGTCTTTTCTGAGACCGTTCAGCTTGCTTCGAGGATCGATCGTGTGTCAGTCTGCTAACCTAAAATATGCACGTCATTTTGCTTCTCTTTAATGTAATTCTAACCTTATACGAATTCCGCCAAAATTCTTGTTTTATTCTTCATTGAAAGAATATATCTGAGGTCCTAGTTTTTTTCTGTTCATGGAGGAATACAATTGGAATCTGATTATCAAAATAATGCATTTACATGATGATTTTGTCTAGAAGTGAGCAGAGTTCATTGTGACAATAGTTGAAGATATAATGAATGAGAGCGAAAATTTAAATCTTGTGATGAATATTTAATGAAACTCATCAGCTTGCACTGTGAAGTAGTTTGGTCTCATTCATACATTTTGAAACATCTGTCTAGCAGGCATAATGAAACGCTCATCACTGTTTTCTCTTCATTTTATATCAATGCGCATGTAATCGACACTTTATCGCTATGATCCTTTGTCAATATAATGCTTTCAAATAAACCTCTTAATATCTAACCTGATAAGTTTATGTATTCTGTACCTACGTCAAAATAATTTCCATGAATCCATTATCTTTTTTGTCGTCCTTTGTGTGTTTGAGATTTGTTGATTATGAATATAATCATCATCGTCGTCGCCGTCATTATCATCATTATAATTAACTTAATAATATCAATAATACTGCATAACCAAACCCGAAATTTGCTAAAAACAACAACAACAAAAACGTTGCTATGCGATCCTGGTGCTAGGACATATTTATTCAGGTTAATTTTGAAAATTCACATGTAATTACTCAAGTAAACGAGGACTACCCACACCAGCAAACACAAGGACAATCTTCCAGGTATTTTTTTTTCTTTTAACTCATAAACCTTTGAGATTATACAGCAATCAGTCACCAAGAATACCAGCTTTAGTCTGTATTTACACGAACGGTTTCACAAATTGCGAGGATTAATTAAACAGCCGGAAGAATACGAATTAATTCGAGAAAAACGGTATAGAATGTTCAACAGGTTAGATTATTGTCGCCTACGCAAAGAAGAAAAAAATAATGAAGAAAGAGAGCAGGATGAATAATGTAATAGAAACAGATTTCGACACGTTGATAGTTGCTGTTAAAAACTCTTCCGCTTTACGTATATTCATCAACCTACCTGCTTATCAGTCTTTTTTTATTTTTTTATTTGGTTCATTCATATCACACACACACATGCACACATATGTGTACATATATACTCATGTATACACACACACACACACAACACACATTTGTATTGTGTGCATATATATGTATATACATACATATATATATATGTTTTATGTATGTATACATATGTGATTGTGTAACCTACCATGCACAAGAATAATTACTAATGGTACGATAGCGATGAGAGGTAAGGGACGCGAGAGTACATTCTGAATTTCTGGAGGAGAGGAGCGACCGATTGACAGAAAGTACCTGCAGATGTGTTCCTGAATAAACCCCCTAAACCTAGCTGGCTGGGTCTCATTTGCCATCTCACATGGCGCAGTGATTCGGAACTATGGCGGGACGAGAACTAGGAAGCTTTACAGAACAAATATCGGCAGAGATTACAGAGCTGGGAAATGCCTTGGGCCGAGTCACCGATTGGAGCACAACAATGAACGGCGATTCGCACCAGACAAGCAGGATCCACAGAACCAAGGTATGAATGGACAGGCTGACGTTCATGTTTTTCTATCGCGAGTGCACCAGTACAAACACGAGATCAAGACGACCGTGTGTGGTGCTGGAAAGTGCAATGTTGCTGTCGCTAAGCAGGCAGGCCTATCACATGACGACGCTTGGTGGAAGAATGCCTTGCAAGTGGCAATGTGAAGAATCATGTGCACGGATTAGGCAACTGTGCATGAGTGAGCTTCAGCAGCTTTTAGCCTGTAAGTACAGTGTTTTAGAGTGGTCGTCATTCACCATTCAGGAAGCTTTGAAAGTAGTCGAAAAAGCGCATTATGGAAAAAAACGGGCGCTCTGAAATCCTTAGAAGTGTGATTTAAATGCAATGATGTTAGTGAGAAAAGTGTTGTCAGGCATTATGAATGTCTGTTGAAAAGAGAAGTGTATGTGAGTTACAAGAAATATTTAGTCATGAACAAATTGAGGGAATAAATGTGAGTGACACGACAGCGTCGAGAGAGAGGCATAGAGTGGCGGGCTGCAGTGGTTGACGAAGAGGTGGAGGCGTGTGTACAGCTGGACGTCCAAGTGTCAGTGAGAGGACAAGGCATCTCATCTTTGGACTGGCAGGTGGCATGGAAAGGATGCAGGGTGTCCGGTGGCAGACCAGACATACAGGAGGTGTGGGAGATGTGGACACTTTGCCAGGTTGTACAAGAAGAAAATGGAAGCAGCACCATCCCTAGTCTATGGAGCGGTACTGGCTGTGTCAGTTGTGACCCCTCACAGCGATAAAGGTTCGTGTGCAGAAGATGGATGACACAGAATATATGGAATTGATGGCAGTGGCAGACAGGAG